CAATGCTAAAATACATATTTATTCAGATACATAAAGTGTTAAACTTTCAAAACACTGAAGAGGTAGCTAATTGCATATTCCCATAATCTGTGCATTTCATAATCTGTCATAAGTATTCTGACCTTTTCACTTTGTTGGCAATGCTGTACTACGCATATTGGAACTTAAAGTTTAGGTCAGAGATCAAGTTTGTGAAATCAAACATTGAGGTCTTAAAGTAACCCCAGCTCCAAGTGAGCTGGAAGTTTAGATGCATGCCCAGTTCCAAAATGTAGATATTAAACACTTTCAAGTCATCCCTCCAGAAAGCCAAATGCTACCTCCTCCCTCACTTCAACACAGGTATTGTGCACTTACAGCTTAGAGGGACAGTCAAAGCACTTGTCTTGTATAGATCTCACCAGCCTTTAGTAACCCAGGCACATACACGTATGTAGTGTGCTCTCAGACAGCCTCTGAAATGAAATCTAGTCTTAACAAAATCCAGATCATAATTAAGCAGGTGCAAGTGTTAAGGGAATGCTTTGTCAGCCCACTCACCACTGAGTGTCTCACATAAAAGTAGAGACTAATTTTCCTTTTTTTGCTACAGGAAAATGAGCAGTGTTACACCCGAGAATAAAAGGAAACTTATCTGGAAACTACCAAACACCAAAAAATTAAGTGTTGAAATTTTTTTCCCAACTCTGAAAGAGCAGGTCTGAACTTTAACCTGCTTCCTACCTCTATACAAACTTGCTGCTTTTTTACCTTATGCTAGTACTCTTAGACTGTTCATTAACAAATATGTGGCTTGGACCAGTTTTAACAAAGACCTAGCTTTCAAAATTAGTTAGATAAAATACAAAACCAACATGGAAATGCTGCAAGAAGTGTGGAATACAGAGCACGCGTACAAAGGTTTGGTCTGAAATTTTGGTTCAACTTCAAAAGGCAGGATTAAAAGACATCTCTGTATTGGTCTGTTAGTTTCAAAAGACGCCTGTGAAGGGTGAAGAAACGAAGCAGAGGTGCATGGGAAAGGCAAACAAAATGAGAGTATTGTGAATCAGCTCTGTACTTATGCCATTACTATTATCCCAGCTCTAGAAACTGCTCTCCCTGCACCTTGAAAACTTCTTTTCTGTAATTTGAAATCTGAACTGTTTCAGAACTACTGAAGATATGTAGGTGGAAGGATTCCTTTCAGGATGAAGAACTAATGAGAGGAAAATCCTGAATTTGTGGTCTGGAAATAAAGATAATTTTCTCACACCAAAACCTGCTACCTGCAATCTCAGCCACTATTCAACTATTTGTGTACGTGAATCCAGCTTTCAAACACCCACAGCTTCAGTCTGTAAGGAGAACAAGTGTGTGCCTGATGCAATTTCATTAATTCAAACTAGCTGTTAGCAGAGTTTACTGGCCAAGCTCTCTGGGGAGGCAAATTAAGTTCCACTAAACATTTTTAAATCAACTTTTTCATAACAGTTTTCACACAGAAAGGGTAGGCAAATAAAACCCCAAACAACCAAAATTAACACCCTCTTTCACATATGAAGCATATGAAGTCCTGACCCTACAGCTGTGGGACGTCCCAGTTCTTTCAAGGAAGTGCCAAATACCTAGAGAAAATCTTCTGAATTAACCAATCCCTAATGCAGCAGTGAAGGAAAAAAACCTGTAAAAAAATTATCTCCTTTTCACACAATTAAAACTCCTCCCTACCTTCTCTATATTTCAAGACACAAAGGGACACTCTTCAATTCACATCTTTCCACTTAGCTTATATGGATTGTTGCTCCAATGAGGGAGCAAATTTCCAGCTCTTCTCTCCTTTACAATCCTACAGTGAGAGTCCGTGCTGGAAAACACTTGCAAAAGATATTTGTTCCATTTCTTACTATTCAAATGTTACTTCTTCTCTAATTTTCTGCATTTATCATTTTGACTCTTCCACCATTACTATAAAAACTTCACCAGATAATATCAAAGTTGGAGTGTAGCATCCTCTGACCAAAGACAACCAGAGAGAAAGAAAGGTGCTAAATTACAATATGACAAAAAACCTGCAGTTTGAAAGCCCTACAGTCTTTTCAATACAGCAATAGTGTGCATGTAAAGCTCTGCTAAGTGACCAGACTTCTTTTTACATGGAAAGCTTTTCCAGGAATTTCCTCTATCTTATAAAGTCTGAGATGGGTAAAGTATTGATACTCTTCACACACACCACAGATCCTGGAAGGCACAGGACTCAGCTGCACTTCCTACTCAATGCCCATTACACTCCTCTTATATTCTTTGAAGCAGTAACAATCCCCAGAAGTTTATTAGGACATTCTGATGAAATACAATTGCTTTTAAGCAAAGCATTACTAAATAAACATTCCAGTGTTAATATTTCTCTAGGGTGGTCTTCCTTTACTTCGGTTTTGTGGATTGATAAAGCCAGTCTGAACAATAGCAACCGCGCTGAGTGCTCAGAGATATCAATTCAATTCCAACTGTTTAGAGAGAGAATTCTCTGTTTTAAACCAAGTTTCCTGCTGATACTAAAAAACGCTAAAGTCCAGACTTCTCCATCTTCCCCTTTATCCCCCCTCTCCCCACCTTCACTAGCTTTAGAGGTGGAAACTAAATACCAAAGTACAACCTCCAGTTAAAAAATAAATGGGTACTGTGGTGATGTTTTGAAACATGGAAATATCCTGAACATAAACAGGGACCAATCCAAACATATACCTGATCTAGTTACTGAAAATGGGCATCTCCACAGCCACTGTTCAAAGTTAAATTAAAAGGCAAATACCTGCATCTGCTCTACAACCTCCAGGACTGTTACAGAACATCTTCACCTGCACCTGCTCTATGCCACGAACATGAAAAAGATTATTTTGTCACCCAAAATTATTAAAACCTGACACTTTTTTTTCACCTTCCAGTTATTTTCTTCCATCCTTTTCCTGCCCAATTATGTTGCAGATCTACCGAGGTGTTTTGCAACACAGAGGAGTTGCTGTGTGCTTGATATGTATAATTTACACTATCCTCTACTATCTAGATACTGCTGAAATACCTAGAGACAAGGCTCGAGTTGTTCCAGGAGGAAAATCAATGTTAAAGCTTCCTCTGCATAAGGACAGAGCAGCTGAACTCCTCTTCCACGTCCGCTCTTCTCGAGCTAAATCTATTCCAGTTTCTCCGCTTCGCAAAAGCCGCCCGTGTGCCCGCTGTGAGCCGGCCCCAAGCCGGGTGTTGGAGAGACGCGATTTCGCCAGCCGGGGCCCGGAGCCGCGGCGGGGGCCGCACAGCCCGCCGCTGCTGCTGCCGCCGCAGCTACGAGATGGTGCCTCGCAGGGGCTGCTCCGCCACAGCCGCCTTCCCTCCGCAGCATCCAGTGAGCCTTTCCAGCCCCCACCGCAGGAGCCGGGGCCGGGAGACGGCAGGATCCCCCGACCTGCCGCCGGGCCCTGCTAGCCGCGGTCCCCGCCCTCCGCCCGGGCCCGCGCCCGTCCCAGCTCTGCCTCGAGGGTCCACCCCGCCACCTTCCCCGCCGCCGCCGCCGGGAACGGGCACGCAACGCCCGGGAAAGCGGCTCCCAGGCAGCCGAGCCGCCGGTGCCGGGCGGGAGAGAAGCGGGGCGGCGGGGCCCGCACTCACCGGGGAGCGAGGAGCACAGACGACCGCCGCCGCTCTCCGTCAGGGGCCGCCGGGCGCAGGGAGAGGGAAGGGGCGGTGGCGGGCGGGCTCCGCCCCGGGCCCCAAGGCCGGAGCGGCGGCGGGATGGCAGCCAGCGCCCGAGAGGGAGGCGGGAAGGGAGGGAGGACGGACGAGCTAGGGATGGCCAGCTGGGCGGCGGGGGCGCGATGCGGGCGGGCTTCCCCTTCCCACCCACAGCCCTGACCCTGCAGAGAGCTGCTGCTTTCATCGGCCAGCCTCTTTCCCTGGATGGAGGAGGAGGAGAGGTAGTGCTGTGAGTATGGAGGGGTGGGTAGGAGGGGTGGTATCGAGGTCAAGGGCAGATCTGCTGCTGGCACTGTGACATGGTCAGCGGGGTGTGGGCAGTGATGTGCCTTGTGGCGGCCGTAAGTGCTCCACGTGCTCACAGCCAGAACGCTCGACCAGGCTTCGGAGGAGTCCAGAGGTGCTGTCAGTGAAACCTGGGCCCGGAAGCGAACAGGTGTTGCTCGGGACACCACCTGTCACACAGGTGTCATCCTCATCCTCTTGGCAGTGCAATAGGAGTGGGACCTCCTGTTGTTTCTCTTGGCAGAGGGAGAGCTGATTGGCCTGGCTGTTGGCAGAAACAGGCTGTTACTTACAGGCTGATCAAGATCAATATCGTGACGTCAATATTAAGGAGCAATATCAGAGTAGAGGACATGCTCGAGGACATAATTTACATCACCCCCATGGCTGAGTGCCAGGGAGAGTTTATCAGTGTCCAGCATGTTCCCAGTAGATCAATATACGGTTTGAGGCTGAATAATGTTGAGGAATTCATTTAGTGCAAGTAGTCGGGGTGCAGCTGCAGTGGGAGCTGCACGTTGATCCCTGGATAGCAGGAGCCAGAACAGGCTAGGAACTGGCATTGACTCAACAAAGAGTGCAGGACCCTGTGGCCCAGACAGGTGAGCAGACACTGAGAAACACAACAGGAGCCAGTGACTCAGCTGGAAGACCCCAGACTTTCACACGCTTAGACAATGAGGGTATAAAAGCCCAGGGTTTGCTTTGCTCAGGGTCCCTCCTCGGACACACCAGCTTCAGCTGTTATTTTGTCACTGAATGATTAAACCATTGTAAGAATCCAGTATTCTGAGACTTTGTCTTGGGAAACCTGGGGTCCAGCCCATAAGGAAACCTAGTCTGACTGGGTGAGAATGGGGTGTGTACGGAGTCAAACAGGGCACCACTCAGCTCACTGGAGCCGCCCACTGTGAAGTGACCTCCGTTTCAGCTCACGTGGTCTGAGTGAGCTGGAACGGAGATTCCTGGATGGTCAGACAGGAAACTTTGTTTAACAGTTAGGTAAACTAAAAGGCATCTGATTCAAGGAAAATAATTGTATACAAAGTAAAGAGAAGTAGGAATGCAAATATTTTGAAAGTCTTGGTGAGGTCCTGGAGAGCAGTGGCTAGGAGACATGCTAACCACTGGAAGTTGGCGTAAAACAAGATCAGAGACGTTTTGTTTTTACCTGAAGAAAGCTTAGGCTAAAAGCAAACTGAGTTACTTGCTAGCTTTGCAAGTCTCAGGTGAGTGAAAATGGAAGTGCGTAGCTCTACTTGTAAAGAAAATGCCCCTGATGTCTCACCTGGATGTTTGTGGGTTGGATTCCTGCGCATAGACCTGTGCTGACCGATCCTCCTGCCTACGTAAACTGTCCAGCTGAAACTACCAGACCAGAAGAAATCAGTGGGAAGGACCCCAAGATCTAGCAAACAAAATACATTGAGTAGGTTTTTGGTTTATTTTTTTAACTAAATATGGAAATCCTGGCTTTGACATACTTGCTGATTTCATTTAACTGGTTTCACCAGAACAGTTAAGACTTCTCAGGACCTGGTATTCTCTGCAGTGATACCTCTAAATAGCCTGTAATCTACAACATACAGTACTTCTGAGTTATTGCTCAAAATCTCTTCCAGGTTGGCCTGTTTTCTGTTCAACATAAACACCACATGGAGTAATTCACTTGCACTAAGTTCTTCTTTTAGAATTGTATTGGTTTTTAGAACATATGATTTGTTTTACAAAATGGTTAACATGGAAACGGACATTAATTCGTAATACTGTTTTCAAACCTTTGGCCAGAGAGTTTTGAGTTTGGCAGAAAACAGTTAAGTTTGTAGTGTGGCTTTTGGCTCTTGAAGGTGGAAGCCCATGTTTCTACATGACACCACAGAACAGTAGATGACTCTGATGGTCTGAAAAGCCAGAAAATTTCTAAAACCTCTTACGGTTTTTAATACTTCATTATTTGATAGAAGTTTTTATTTTTGTATATGTTTAATTAATAGTAATGAAAGCATTTCAAACATGTTCCTCTTTGTGGGATTAAGTCCTGTAATGCTTCTTTGGGTCACTTCCTTTGAAAGGAAAATTTTAAAATTTTAGTTTTATTGTTGTTGTTTCTAACAGAACAGACTTGCAAGGCCCATGTGTATCACTAAGTTTTCAATCATGAATAAAACCCTCTACTACCAAGTTACCAAAGCAATTGCTGCAAAATCTGATTGACCTAAAATCTCTTGACAAAAAGAAAACACTAGTGAAAAAAACAGGTCAGCAACAGAAATGGGAAATCCATACATCAGCTCTGACTTTTCCCAGTGAATATCTGCAAGGTTTGTACTTTCTGTTCTGTAGGGAGTGAAGGCCCTTGAGGTTGACAGTAGAAGGGAAGATTCTATATCCCAGAAAGAGTGGCAGAAATGCTTCAGCCTCTACTGGTTCTTTGTAAGGACACAGAGACTAACATGGGATTGGAAGACAGGCTGTTCATTCAATGGTTTATGGCAATGCTGCCTGAATGTTACTGCTGGTGTTTCCACCATTTCCATTTGAGCATTTGAGTATTCTTCTCACTGGGGCTGAGTTTACAACAATGTGTCTTATTTAGCACATGATTAAAAATGTGTGGGTTTGCCTTTCTCCCAAGACTGTCAGAAGATGGGAACTATATTAGACCCATTGTTTGTAAGGAAGATGTTTACTGAAATGGCTTCTCAGGTTTAGGATCAAACTGCAAGGATATCCAACAGTTTTCTTGGACAATCATGCATTGTGCTAAATCAGGATTAAAAAAATTATTTTCTGTTCTTGCAGTGAAGATGGATGCAAATAGGAACAACAGTGCCTTTCATGTTGCAGTCACGTGCATCCTTGAGTGCTTTTAGGGTTTTTCATTAAATTATTAAACAACAGATGAGGAACTTTATGTCAGTCCTTTGTCCTTTCTGTTTTAATGAAATCCATGTCCAAGAAGCTTCGTCTAATATCAGATTCCTTCTGGAGCTTTCTTTGAGGTTATTCACCAATGTCCTGGAAGTCCAGAGAGCACATCATGTTTGTTCAATTCCTATCTGACTTCACTATTGTGTCTGTCAACATATTTCACTCTTTCTGATCCTATCAAGAAGTTACAAAGACTTTGAATTCCCAAGAGATAGCTTTCAGCTTATTACAGCAAATAAAGCCCTAACATACAGCAGCAGACTTCAGTGTTGTAGCAATCTTCCATGCAGGCTCAGCTGATCATTGAAGTTGCAGCAATCACAGGATTGCTGCAATCACAGGATTGCTGCAATCAGTCTCAAACTGGGCTAGGATAGGTCTGACAGAGAGGCAATAAATTTGAGCTGTCAGCCTAGAGGACCCAGAGCTTTGGAGCTGTCATCAAAAAGAAGTGTCTGCCTGCGTGCTCTCTGTAGGATAACGAAAAGGCCTGATGAGATTTGCTCTGGAGTGCTGTCCCCATAAGCAACAGCTAAGGGTACATAATTTAATGTACTGTGTTCTACAGAACATACAAATTTATGCATTCAAATGAGTTCACCACTCAGTAAAAGTGTTCCTGACTCCAGGAAGCCATCTGTGAATTAACTAAAGAACTGGTGAGATGGTAGATTGCATGGCCTACAGCTTGTCCTGACTACAGGAAAATATGTTTGGTGGCTCATGAAGGAGTTCATGCTAAGATTTCAGTGTTAGTCATGACTGTTTCAAGCTGTTCAAATTGTCAGTGTGCAACAGAAGTACTAGTCTAAAACAGAGTTTGAGAAGCTCACAGAAGACCTCTAAGTGAGGGCATACTGCACTGTCCCTCTTTAATTAGATGATTGTGCATCCTCTAAAGGGAATTCTGTGCTCGGTTAATAAACATGTTATAATTTGCTTTTGGTATCAACAGTAGTTTGCTTAATGTTCTTTAAATGAGTCTTCAGAAAATTGCAGTAACATTTATTGAACTTTGGTTTCAGCAGAAAACAAAGATTCGAGTTCTGCCATCTACTGGTTAAACGGGGTTTAGCGGAGGCTCGCTGTCACTCCTACCGGTGAGAGGGCATTGATTTAGGAGTTCAGATGCTCTACTTAATCCAGTAGTAACTCACACAAGTGTACCGTCACGGAATAATACTGCTTTCTTGCAGAATAAAAGCTTTTTTTCGACAGTGCCACAGGTACTGAAGAAAAGGGACTTGAGGATGGGACTGTGTACCCAAAATGAAAGAATGAAGTGTCTGAGACAAGTGAAACTTCACCGTCAGGACTGTGCCTTCAGCACCAGACTGCATAATGCTTTTGGAGAATTTCTCCCAAAGTAGGTAATCTGTGATCAGCTTATAGTTACTGTATGGAGAATGAGAAATAAAAACTGTTTTCACCATAGAAGTGGAAGGATTGTTCTTGTCCCTTTCAAGAGTAATGATATAACTTGCAGCAAATACAGAAGTCTTTACTGACAACTAGTGTGTTTCCCTGCATAGCCAGAATGGTGTAGAGGACTTTAACCAGACTAGATACCTGTGAATGCTCATCTGAAAATGACCCGTATTCAAAATTTAAACTTTTGGTGCATAGGCAATGTACAACACCCTTGAACACAGTAAGCCTGAACTTATATTATTCATATTCTTGTTGCAGTTGCACTAACACTCCCTAACTGAGCTCAGGACTATGACAGAACATGTTACTCATCTGATAGAGCAGGATGAAGTGGAGAGTAAACTAATCCATAAAGTTGGTAGAAGAAACAAACTCTGGAGCTCAGGAAATTTACCATCTAGCATGTGGCTAGTCTAAGATGGCTGTTTTCACTTTGCTGCTGTACCTGCCTAAAGAACTTGCACACACAGTCACTAACCCTTATCTAAGAGACAGCTGTTTCCTACTACAGTCTTGCTGCATGCCTTTGGTGACTGGTAAACATAACAGCCTTGGACATTCACTGTAGCACTACTCTTTCACTCCCTGTACTGCCTAGTAATTGCTTGTAGTTGCTCTGACATCTAGAACTTTGTTAAAAACAACTGACACATTATGGAAAGCAATGGAAAACACACTTTTTGAAAAGAGGTACACATTTTGTGCTGCCTATACATACACATTTTGCTCAAAGAGAATTAAAGATGCACAAAAGAGCAGTAGGAATACCATTGTTGTGTTCTAATGGTAGACTGTTTTTCTGTAACATTTTACTTATTGTTACTTACTGAACATGAGTGACTGTTCTTAACTACTTTTCAGTGAAAAATTGGATACTGTGTATTTTTCCCAAGATGTTTATACTTGTACTTTGCTTTTGGATTCCTCAATTTTCCCACAACAAATTAACATGCTGAATAAAATCAGCACTTGCAGTTTAAGACTATTCCACTTAGCTGCTTCGAAGGCTACCTGAGCAGATCATCAGGTCACCTATGATATGGCATAGTCAGGATGGATGTTTCCCTGATGTATTTTCCTGCCTCTGAGGGCTGAGAGCAATTCATCATGACAGATATACCCTGACTACTAGTGAAACAGAGAGCACAGAGCTAAATTACAACTCATGAGAGCTGTCTTTTTTGCCTGTTTGCAAGTAGTTCAATTATTTGCACACAAACACAGAACAAAAGGATAACAGCGAAAAAGACAGCGCTTTTTTACCCCATTTCTACACACAAAATCTAGATACCAGGAGAGTGGGAAACCATCTACTAATGCTCTGTGTGCAAATAGTACCTCTATTGTTAATCTCTCTTCAGTGAACAGACTGCCTCATTTACCAGAGACCTTAATGAAAAGCTGTGATTGTGCCAAGAGAAAGCTACCCAATGGAATCTCCTATGAAATGTTAACTTGAGTGTTACCAGGCCCTCAGTTCTTCATTTCCATCAGGGAAATCTTGTCACATATAGGTAAAACCTTACAAAAGAAAGGCCCTGTAAAATCATGGTTCAGGCCTTGTTACTTGTTACTTGTTACTAGCTAGCAGCTAGCCTGATAAGTTCCCATGCAAAGACATCTTGAGAATGAAAAGTTCGTTAACATAACGAACTGTTCTTGGGGAGAAAAACAAGTGCACCTGTAGTAACAAGGGATCCGTTCCATGGGAATCAGTAGAAAAAGCCTGTAAACGTTGTTAGAGAGAAGAGTTTTGACTGACATGTACACTCATTACCAACCAGTGAATTGAGTTCCTAACCAACTGGAATTAAATACGGTGCCTCCTGACAACCATGTAAATGTAAGCTGTGTGCAACAAAGATTGGGCTATGATGGAAGAAGAAACAGGTGCCATTATCAGTCTATAAATTCTCATTCGCCTTTTTCATTCCTATTGCACTTCAACACTCCAGTACTTAGATTTCCATGGTGTCAGTGGTCTGTGGTGGGAAACTGCAGGATACATAACTATTCTGTCCTGTAACTAGCCTGTAGGTGGGTCCCTGGATTTGGGTAGCTTTCAGCTTCTCTCCAGACCCATCACAGGTGCTCGAGGTGTTGGTGCCTGTTTCCATACTGTAATGGACAGGTGCAGAATTGCTGTTAACACAGTGGTAGGCCCATTTTTAAGCTGGATGCTCATTTATTTTGGCTTATGTGGAATTTAAGACCATCAGTTGTGCAATAGTAAGGGTCACATTTCCTTCCCTGGCTGACCCCCTGAAATGTCACAATGTTGCCTAAGTGATCGGCTGCCCTGCACACCTTGAAAATTTCTATCAGTGACTGCCTGCTGGTCCTGTTCGGTTATGTATAGAGCACACAAGCAAGTTTTTAATTGTTTTACTTGCAGGAGGGATTGGAAAACTCAACTAATTTCTGTAATCTTGAACTGAGTTGCATATTGTAAAGTTTCATCTGTGTTACAAGGTGATAAAACAAGTCAAGAGTGCTGCTGGGAGAATGTGGGGAGCTGCTTTAATGCCAAACTTGGATCTAAATTTAAGGTCACCCCTGTTCTTAGCTCCAGAGTCCTCTCCTATTCCACATTTTTCAATGAAATAAACACCTACAAAACCAGTGCTTTCAGCACCATTCACATGAATTATCTTTCCATTAATCAACCATGCACTGCACTCAACAGAATCCATTTTAGTTACAAGCTGTTATAGAACAGAAGAAGGAAATGTAGTGGTAACCAGGGGTAGCAAATGGGGATTTGGCACATAACTGACCAGTTTTTATTTTTCACAGATGAAGATTCACTGCTGCCTCTCCTTCTGTTTTCCTTATTGTGCAATGCAGAAGCTCCAAGTCAGCATTTTCCTGGTCTGGGGGTGTTTACTTCTGTTCAGCTGTACCAGAGGAGAGCAGTGATCTGCTGGTGAGTGGCAGCTGGCTTTAGCACAGCATTCCCATTACAGCAGATGCACAAAACAACTGCTGAAGACTGTGCTGGGGCCAGCACCATAGAATGCCCCTTAGCACCAGCCCAGATGCTGCTCCAAGAGAACACGGGGGGCCCTGAAAGTGTAGGGCTATATGGAGGGCCAGGTACCTCTTCCTAGGGTGGTACTGTGGAGGTTGAGGTTTGGCTGAGGTGCAGGACTCAGATACAGAGCTTACAGGTGCAGAAGCTATGGGAGAAGGCAGCACACCACATAGCACCAGGGAGGATGAGCAGGAAGGCAACAGCATCCCTTCAAGGAGGTGCCTGTGCAGAGGTAAGTGCTGGAGCCCTCTGCAGCGGTGATGGGTGCAGGACTCTGGCTGAGTGAACAGCACTTTTGTTCAGGCATCACTGCCAGTCAGCTGTGCTGTGCACACCCAGAGAACCGTGCCAGGCCATTGACTTCTCAGGAACCAAGGTTCCCAGACCACAACTTATCAGGACCTAACAGAACCATCCTGAGCAGGACTAGCCAATACCAAAACTGCTGTGGCTGTACTCCTGCACCAAGGCAGGTTAACTACAAATCAACCACATTACACTATAGACATCTGTAACCCCACTCTGAGGCCATTGAGCTCTCCTGTACAGCAGTGGGCGGTAGTTTTTTAATTACATTACTCTTTAATTATCATTCAATAATTGTTTAATTAAAATTTTATAATGAGCTAATCATCAACAAACCCCTCTAACTCCACAGTGATGTCTTATTTTATGAATTTATCTGCAACAGCTGCTTAAGAGGTAGGACAGTTAAAAGGCTATGCAGAACTCTCTTGTAGGCTTGGATTTGTAAGGTGGGAAGGTTGAGACTCCCAAGGTGGAAATGTTGGGAACTTGTGACTCCAGGCAATAGGAGAATGACTCCTTTTGGTCGTGTAGGTATGAACTGAAGGCACTCAGGTGCTATACTCTGAAAACAAACAGAAACCACCTAGGTCAGGAAAGACATCAGAGCCCCCACAAGGACAGAGCAAGTCATGGTGGCTGGAGACTTTACTTTTGCTGATCTCTCTGTCTCAGAAAGTTTTCTGCTTGCAAAACACCTGGGCCTTTGATCTGGGGTGCTTTTGTGAAGCCCTCAGACCATGACCTCCCATCATCCATGTGGGCACCAGTGACACAGGCAAAGGAGAATCTCATGCATGAGCACATCACTCTTGAGTCTAGCACACGTGGTATTTCTTCTTGCTGGTGAAGGAGTAGATCTATCCTGTAGGCCAACAGGTTCTGTCAGGCATAGAAATAAATAATATTACTTATTTTACATATACACATATATTAAAAAATGGTGTTTTATATACTGGATTTCTAATACATTATTAGAGTGTAGAATCAAAAATTACAATGTGGTTTTAACAAGACCTGGACATTTTCTTTTCAGAGTGCACAATTCTTAGTAAACCTTAACTGCAATCTGTGATTCCATATGTGGCTGTTTCTGCATATTTTGCATTTCAGAATGCATTAATTAAGCTACTCTATTAATAAGAATTGCTTTCGTGTTCCCTAGGTCCAGAGACAAAACATGACCAAAGAAGTTAAACTGGCTGCCTTCCACTACCAGAGGGGAGCTTACAAGACAGCTGGAGAGGGATATCTTAAAGTGCCCCCCCAGGGACTTTAAGAATAATTAAAGGTGTGTGTTGGCAAAAAAAGGAGGAGTAGCTTCAAACTGAAAGGGAGTATGTTTAGATTGGATATTATGAATAAATAATAAATTATAAATAAACAAACAAACAAATAAATAAATAAATAAAACCCTACCTGTTTTTTTGGTTGATTGGTTGGTGTTTTTCTCAAAGAGAAGTGATTCATTAACTCTGACCAAATCCCTTACATACTTTGTCAGGAAGCTATTTGTTCTAAAACTTAAGAGCTGGAAATAAGCTATTAAATTTTAAAATTGGTATATTTGAAACACAAATAACTTGCCTGTCATATCATCGTATTTGCTAGCTGGCTGGGCCTAAATTTTCACCCTCTTGACTTTGCTATGTTGTTACAGTTTTCTTTATTTTCAGCTCTGATATGGCTTATTTTTTACTAAGTCTCAGTTTTGTTAGCCGAACTAGAGAAACTCCTGGGATAGTAAGAAGTGTAAATGCTAAAAGAAAGTATGAGATCCAAGGTTATGTCCACTTGTGATAAAGGTATCTACTTTTTCATTAAACACTTACTAATGCTGACTATAATGATTTTGGTGAAATAAAGGTGTATTATTTGATGGGCTCTCTGGAAGGCTTTTTTCCCACAATAGATGGATGTATTTGAACTGAAGGATTTTCTTCTCTTTTATGTCTCTGCACCTATGTGAAAAGTGTGCATATATTTGATATATAAACATTAATATGTAATTTTGCTTAGATTATGAAGGCTAATGTGTTCCTAATTATAACCTTTATCTGAAAAAGTATAGTCTCTTAATCTGGCTAAGCAAAGAAACAATTAAAAAGTTGAAAGACATACCATATCTTACTGCATAACTTGGACCTGCCCCAGAATTTTCTCCTGGCTTTCCACAGCAGGGCTTTTGCTTCTCTGACTCAGGGGCAGCTGATGCTTTTAACTAACAAGTCAGCACTTGATTTATTTCTAGTGTGATTAGAACAGTTGTTTTAAAGATTTTTTTTTTAGGAAGTAGCTATAGAGCTATTATGAAGCAAAAAAACAGAAAAGAAAAAAAACCCCACCACAATTACATGCTAGGTACATACCTTTTTTTTTTTTTTTGTACTGTGGGCATAAGAAATTGAATTTCTCTTTTGTTTTCCATTGCAAGACACAGAGTGCACCAACATGATCTAATAGTTTTGCTGTCTCTTCAGCTGCAAGATTTTGGGAAAAAAATAAAGATATCCTATTTAAATGAACATCAGGATTTACTTTTGATTCAGATATCACCAACTTGGAGATGTGAAAAAAACTGCACATCTGAAACCTCTCTTGCCTAGGAAGCTGATACTTCATAAGCCACTTCCTTTCATGAGCCAGAACAGCATTATCCCTCATTTTCCAAATATTGATGTGCTGGTTTAAACCAAATGAAACCAATCCCCCTGTAGCTCTTCTTCCCTTCTGGTTGCCAACAGGAGGGCACATTCAAAGTAACTCCTGTGTTTTAAATTCTTGCTTCTTAGAAGACGTAATTTATTTTAAACTCTCCTTTTCAGCCTTCACATATGGTTTATGTCATTCCTCTCTTCCAATTCCTTGTGGTAATGGAGGAAATCCAGAAAACAGGAGTCAACAATAAAGAAAATTCCAGTAATCTAGAAAGGCTTTTGCTTATGGCTCTATGGGATAGGTACGATTGGATTACACACTTTCACATTTCACCAACATGTAAAGAACACACTTTATAGAAATAGAAATTTAACAAGATTATCTGGCATTTGGGAAGTTAATGACTCCAACTCCCATCCTGTGAGTGGATGGATGAAATTGTTCATAGCTCTCTGAGAAACCAGGACATGGGAAGGCCAGGACAGTCCAGTAAAAAACAGCACAGCTCCATCTGCTTTTCACCCACTACTTCCCTATTTGTACAGTCCTATTAAATCCTCTCTAGATCCCACCTGGATCTGACAGGTTTTTTGAAGCTTGCTTACAAATTAATTGCTTCATGAAAGAATTTAGTAACTGAATTTCATCATACTCAGTGTCAAGAGAGTTCTGGTATGATGAACTGTATTCCTTAACGGATAAAATCATTATGTGATATTGACACCACATCAAACTTATTTAATCTTGTACATAAATTTGGGATGATGTACCAGAACTTTAATTTCTCAGTTGCATCAAAGGCTTTCTATCTGTCACCATTATGTTTTCTCCCTAGATATAAAGAGTACAAGGAAGTTGCAAAAGGTTCAGAAGATCCAAGGTGCAAAGCTTGCTCCATTTACTGAATACACCTCCACCAAGCAAAGAAACTTGTAAAAATGACAATTTTCCAAAATGCCTGCCCTGGAGTTGCATAACTTCAGTTTAATGTGGTTATAGAATCCAAAGTGACACAAAATGTTTATCAGGAAAAAAAAGAAGTATATTTTCTTTTCAGAGGCCTTACATTTTTTTCCTAATCTTGTCTTACTAATCTTGTCAAAACAAAGACAACAGATGCTCAAAGAATTTTGTTTGTTTTCATCTGAGGCACTTCTTCATTAAAAAAATATGAAGGTATACCTAAGAAGTGGTAGCTTTATCCTGTTTGCTTCATCTTTCAGTTACCAGCCTGTCAAGCCACAACTCTGCATGAGAAACAAAGGCACTTCTAATGAGCTATCACATTGTGAATGTGACAGCTCCACACAGGTGAAATGGAAAGGATGGCTTGCCTTCAACTGCTGCCATACTCCATGGCTGCTGGCAGCAGATGTTTTAGCAAACTTGGCTGAAGACAACCATTGCATGGTTTAGGTTGTTTGGTTGTTTAGGTTGCATGGTTATACATGTTGCTCAGAGATAACATGGGAAGCTAAAGCACAAAAAAGTTTAGTTCTTGCCCCTGTGTTGTAGCTTATAAATATCTATCTGGAGAGCCAGTTGTTTAAAAATAGCCAAAATCTCACTTCATTTACATCTCAACTATAAAAACTACCATTCTACAGTCTTCTATCAAATAAACCCTGTAACTACCTGCTCCAGTAAGTGATTCAGTAGTGTATGTAATTATTTGTTAATTGAATTCATTTTCACCTTTTATAAAAAGATTAATTAATTGCTTTCTCAGGCTTTTGAAACAGTCAGATTTTGATACGATTATAAGGGAGTTTCCTAGATTGTAAGAAAGACTTGTTCACATGAGTTTCAGCTTTCCAAATCTTGGGCCTCTGACTCTTAAGAGGGGAAGAACTATTAGATCAATACAAAAGAAACACATTTCAAGAGGACAGGCTATGTTGAAAAGAAAGGCAGGACAGGTTAATGGAACTCCACTTAACCTGCTCTTCTGCTTGACTGCCTTTAGGGAAAAGAGGTTTCTCCCCAAATCCAGTCTGAACACCTAGTTTGAAGTTCTGCCCTTTGTCTCTTGTCCTTATATTCCTGTAGAGGACCTTGGTCCATCTTCTTTAAAACCTCTGTGTCGTGTCAGTACTATGGAGATGCTATGAGATCTTCTGGAAACTGTCTCTTCAGACAGTTCAGAAGGCTCCCTCAGCCTTCTCTGCACAGGATAAGTGCACCAATCCCTAGCCACTCTCATGGTTCTCCACCAAATTAGCTCCAGCAGTTTGTCATGTACTTCCTTTATGGAGGCCAAAACTGAGTACAATAGTCTAATATTGCAGTGCTGAGGAGATGGTAATAATCCCTTCTTTCAGCTAACTAGCTGTGCATCTGCAACAGGATGCTGTTGATCTTGTTGTTGCCAGTGTGCACAGCTGGCTCATTGAAAACCAAGACACTCAAGACCTTTTCTACGGAGCTACGCTGCTGCCTGTCTCTTCATTTGGAGGTCAAAGAAGGTGTGATCCCTGATAGACAATGCTGGCAGCAGCAACGGTTGAGGAGAAAGATGAGGTACCCAACAACTTTTGCCGTAGTCTTCAATGGTAACGTGGTAGCCAGGCTGGGTCTGTTGTTCTGACCTGGGATGCCACAACTTTCCCAGAAAGAGCAGTCCCACAAGAGATGGCCTTCAGGGGGTCTCTGGCAATCCCTGGCCACTGGGTAACCTCAGCAAGGGGCAGCCTGTGGCTGCAAGAGATTTCAGCTCAGTGATTTCAGCTCTGCTTGCTAGGTTGTCCTGGACTGACTTAAAGACAGAGAGACAGGAGTGTTGTGTGGCAACTCCACAGAGATAGCCTTTATTGTCCAGCAGTTCTGCAAAGGGTAGCAAGGGATGGCAGGTCCCTACTGAACTGGGCAGAAGCTGGGGTTTTTATGGGGGAAAGCCAGGGTGGTACCAGGGGGGAAAACCAATGGGCTACTAAAGATCAACATAGTCACCAAAGCATGGTGGGATAGCTCACCATGAGAAGAGAGGATGGTCCCATCTAAGGGGTATCTCTCAAGGAGAGGGTTGAGATAAGCTTATCACAGTTCCCTCAGGGCACATTCCTCCAAGGAAAAGCCTTGGAAGGCTCATCTGCCTCCAGAGTAGCTCTTCCTCCCCCACCTCTCAAGTGGATGAGCAGCAGGATGGGATGGGGGAGCAAAGTCTCTCTCACTCTAAGTAAAGATCAGGTTCATGGCCACCTGAAAAACCTGAACATACTTAGAGTCTATGGGAGCCTATGAGATGCATCCTAGAGTCCTGAGGGAACCAGCTGATATAGCTGCCAAACCACTCTCCATGACATTTGAAAAGTTGTGGCTGTCAGGTGAAGTCCCAGGTGACTGGAAAAGGGAAAACCTTGTATCTGTCTCTAAAGGGTAGAAAGGAGGATCCCTGGAACAACTGACCTGTGAGGATCACCTCTGTGCCTGGGAAGATCATGGAACAGATCCTGCTGGAAGCTGTGCTAAGGCACATGGAGGACAGGGATGTGGTCTGGGACAGCCAGCATGGCTTTACCAAGGGCAAGTCCTGCCTGACCAACCTGCAGGCCTTCTGTGATGGAGTGACTCCACTAGTGGACAAGGGCAGCAGATGTCATTTATCATGGTCCTCCACAACATCCGTCTCTCTACATTGGGGAGAGATGGATTTGATGGGTGAATTGTTACATGGATAAGAAATCAGTGGCATTCAGAGGGTACT